GACACTGTCTGTGCCGATTTTAAATTCGAGATTACGATAATTGTGGAGTGTCAACGAAACTTCCACGCTGATTTATACCCCCCCCCCCCCATATATAAAACCCACGAAACATAAAAAAAAAACTAGCGATAGGGAACGTGCCGATTTGAATTTCCTTATTAAATTATAAAACATAAAACTCGGGATACCTTGAAAAGGGCTCCAGTTTTCGTACTTAAGTCTCTAAATTAAGGTTTTAATGCACCCAGTCCTTGTTTAAGCACTTATAAGCAGCTGCTGATAAATGTATAAGCCAAAAATCAAGCTTCAAGATGGGAGTTTTTACAAACAAAAGTCTAAAGAAGAATTTTTAAATTCTTGGAAGGTCAATGAATCTCGGCGAGGTTTTATAAGATTTTCTGGAAAACTTAGTCTATGAAGTTTCACGATGTATAGATTACAGAGAAACAGAAACGTGCAAAAAAAAAAGAATAAATTGAAGGTGATCTAAGGTTAGGCTAATCTATTGAGCTAGAGCAGAGATGGTCAACTTTTTTATACTCGTGGGCCAGTTTCTTACCTAGCCTGCAGTCTGCGGGCCGAAACTATCTGACCAGGTAAAGTACGTTCAGAATATCTGCTTAAGTTTTAATTCCTACTGTCTACTATTATATGGTTTTAATAAATAGCCAGGTTAACATTTGAAGAAGGTTCTCGAAACCGATTCGGGATTGGTTTGCTTGGTCATCGTTTCGTTTTGCTTGTTTGGCCAAAATTAAAAATATATATATAATTAATGAAAAAAAAAACTGTTTGTAGTTAAGCATAAAGTTACACAATCGGCTCTCTGTGCTCTGCCCACCACAGGTATCGAAACCCGGGTTCTAGCGTTAAAAGTCCGCAGTTATATCGCTGTGCAACTGGGGGGAGCAATATTTATAGTATTAACATCGGATTCCTTATATAACTACATCAGCTAAGCGTGGTACACGAAGCTTTATTCATGACTGTTTGGTTTTGGCGCTTTGGTAATAC